GCTAGAGTCTGGAACCAGCTTCCAAGTGAGGTGGTGCAGGCTCCCACCCTGGGGGTTTAAGTGGAGGTTGGATGACCACTTTGCTGGGGTCGTTTGACCCCAGTGCTCTTCCTGCCATGGCAGGGGGTCGGACTAGATGATCTGCTCAGGTCGCTTCCGACCCTAGAAACTATGAAACTATGAAGACCAGAATTTTTTTAGCTTGAGGAAGGGAGCAATTACCTGCAGTACAGTTGTCTTACCAAAACAGCCAAAATATTGGAGTCCCTGACTGCTAGGGCCAACACATAGCTGAACATGAAGGAGCAAGCTACCTGCTGCAGGTGAAAGCAGAAACTGCCTAAGGAGAAACGGTACTGGCTACCCCTGGGTTATGAACTCATCCCCTACAGAGCCTAGCCTGCAAAAAGCTCTCTCTATACCACAGCAGGTAAAATGGTGTGGGGGGAAATTAGCAGCCCCTGGGCCAGGTGAGCAAGAAGCTCAGTTAGATGACCAGTGGGAGGGGTTGACTGGTATATAAACTCTCTTCCAGGGCTGAGGAATGGGTTGATTGTCACAGTAGAGAGGGGTAAAGGTCTCTGGGGAGAAAGGAATGAATATAAGCCTAGTGAGAGGAGCTGCTGTTTGGGAAGCAGACCCTCTGTGGGTGGACAGAGAAAGTGAATGCATGCAAAGCACCGAGTATTTTTTGTGTTAATCCTGGGGAGAGAGGGTCTGGAAAGCCAATTCACTTGAACTGCTGAGATCTGTTTATGTTAACCTAATAGGGGTCTGGAGAATGGGTATACACAGAGAACCAGGGGCTGGCAGAATGTATAGGGCCAGGAGATGGATGTCTCCTGGCAAGGGCTGGGAGATTGCTCCCTGCCCCCAGGAGCTTTCTGCTGCCAGGGGGCTCCAGTGGTGAAGCCCAGGTGGGGACAATGCCCCCCTGTCCCGGCAGCAGGGAGCTTGGAAAGAGCTGCAGGGGAAAGGCAGGCCCAGCCTCCTGCCCTGATCCACCAGTAAGGCAGCTAGCAGTGAGCCCTTAACTGTGTGGGGATTCCCTGCCCAGTTTTGGGCTCACTGCTAGCTGCCCCACCATGGGGCTGGGAAAAATATCTGTGGGCCTGGGACCTGCTCCTGACTGGGGCAGCCCTGGGGTGTGCAGGGAAATCTGCATATACATCCCAGAGCTGGCTGGGGACTGTCCAAAATGGAAAAGTCTCTAGCCACCTCCAGGCTTCATGCGCAGACTTCCTAGCACAGTGTGGAGCTAGCCAAGAACTGTCCTGGTCAAGGGCAGGTCCCAGCCAGCTCCAGGTTATACGGAGAACTCTCTGTACAGATTGTTTCCATTTCTGCAATCAAGGAGCTGGGGCTTGGAGCAATCTCCCAGCCACCACTCTGCAATTCTGCCACCACAATGCTGCCCAGCAGGGGGTGCATTGTTATGCCCAGGGTCTAGCAACTTCTGGGGCAGAAAGCAATCTCCTGCCCCCTGCTGCCTAGCTGACTGGGAGCAAATCTGCTCTTTGGTCATTTCTTAAAAACGGGTGCTTATTTAGCAGCCAACATCCACTTATATATTCTCTTGTAACCCATGCCAGTTGCAACTCCCTTGCAAGGAAACTAGGAAAGTAACCCTGAGATTTGATCAAGGCAAAAGTTTATAGCTTTCACCCTAGAGCTACTTTTTCATTTTATCAGAAGAAATTCCATTAGCTCTAAGGTAATTATTCTCAACCAGTATATTGTGGCACCCTGGGGTGTCTTGAGATCCTTTCAAGGGTGCCACAGGATGCCTCACAATGTTAGAATTGTTAGGTAAGCAAACATAATTAACAAGCTGAACACAGAGATTTCAAGTAGGAATCCAAAGTGTTTAAAACATTCTAGCTTGTTCTGGTCTTTCTGAGTTCTTTGCAATAGAAGAATTGCTCTAGTATTTTTCTGTATTCAAGAAATGAGTGAAAACTAAGAGGTGGTATTTTAGAATGGGTTTCTTGAGCCTAACAAGGAGGTGCCTTAAGCCTAAAAAGGTTGAAACCACTGCTGCAAGGCAATTACACTTTTCTTAGAGCCAGCTTGAATAAAGGCCTCTTCCCTTCACAGAGAACAAAGCAGTACTTAATTGATGGTACAATATTGCAGAAATGAGGAAGAAAGCCAAAAGAAAAAGGAGGTTCTCATAATTTTCATTTTTCTGTACAACAATCCCAATTACACTGTAAACCACATCATTTACATCCCTGCAACGCAGCCTTTAGGTCTGCATAAGTCTTGAGACATTTAATTTCAGTGTACATTTCAAATCAGGTCTATAGAGCGCAAGATATTTGCTTTATGCAGATTCAATTAAGGGAACTAATTTCAATTCTGAAGCAAACAAGATGCATGTAAGTTAATAGCCTGAAGTGTTCAGCCTCCAAATGGAATAAGACTCTTATTGCTCTGCTTTAATAACCTGAGACACAATTCCAGGCATTTATATAAATTAAAACATGCAGACCTCATCTGATTTCCAGATGATAGTTTTCTGATGGGAGGTCATTTATCATTAATTCTTTAAGTGGGTGAATGTTCACATGCCTTGCTCTGGCATTGTATATGTCAAGTAATTTATTTGTGAGTGGCATTGTAGCAGGGCACTGGGATGTCCCTTTTCCTTTAAGGGAGCAAGAAGCCTGGGAGACTGCTTGCAGGTAGCAGAGGGGAGGTAATGGGAGGCTCACCTGATTGGAGGAAGGCTCAGGATGAAGCTATATAAGGCCAGAGCCTGCACTGGTCAGGTAGTCTCTCCCCAACCACCATGCAGGGAGGACCTCCTGGCTGTAAGGCAGAAGTATCTGTCAGGGGTGGGCTCAAGGCCTAAGCTATCATCAAGCCCAGTGAAGGGAGCAGTGCAAGGCTGCAGAGTAGATGGGGGCCAGGGGCCCGGTGCCTGAGAGGGGCATGGCAAGATAGGGTCCATGGGCCCAGGTCAAGAGGAATGCAGCCATAGCTGGTCAAGGGCCTGACAGACAGAGGTCAGTGACCCAGAGACTGAAGGAGGGCCCAGCACCAGAGGAGTGCAACCATAGCGGGTCAGGAGCCTGGCAGACAGAGGCTCAGGGTCCGGAGACTGAAGGTAGTAGATGGACATTAGTGCTTCCAAGGTCGGTCTGATGCTGTGGTCCTAGGCTTAAAAGCAAGAGTAAAGGAGCAGAGGCTGAGGAGCCTGAAGCCCCAACAGGAGAGAACATTACAGTGTCATCCATGAGGTTTGGGGTGTGGTGTAGGAAAGGAGAAGGAGCCATGCAATTTGCCCCTAAGGCTACAGGTGCCCTATAGGGACTTAATCAAGCCAGGAGAGAACTATTTAGATTGAAGCTCACTCTGAGACCTGTTGGTAGCCTCCCTTATCACTCTTGAGTAGTACGACCAAGGCATGGTAGACAAACAAACTAGAGGGAAAGGTCTTATAGCTTGAGCCAGACAGGAGCTGCAATTCCACTAGGAAGTGTCCTGGCTGCCCCAGTGGGTTTGCAACCTGTTACAGTGGTGCACCAGCAAGGCAACAGCCATGCACAGGGGAAGACCCGCATCCCTAAGATGGGATTCTTCATCCCAGTGGGGAAGGGATGAAAGGAACAGTAAGGACTGGAGAAATCATGGCAGAGACACAAACTGTAGAGGGATTAAAGCAGGAAACACTTACCTGGCAGTTGTGTTCAGAGAAGGTGAGAGA